GCTTTGGTTCGATCAGTGGAGAAAGATCCGAGAAAAACGTCAAGCGATCTTCGTCGAGAGGCTCACCAATACCATGGGCTCACCATCTCTAAGAGTACAGCTCAACGAATTCTGAGGTTTATTTTGATGTAATGATGCATTTATATCAGAATTTTAGATCTAAGGGACTTAAAGGAGCACGCCCTTCACGAAAACCGCTGATTTCAAAGAAGAATCTTAAAGCTCGCCTCGAATTTGCGAGGAAACATCAGAACTGGTCAGTGGCGGATTGGAGTCGCGTTTTATGGAGTGATGAATCCAAGTTTAACTTGTTTTCAAGCAATGGAATTCGTTATATCCGACGTCCAGCAAATAAGAGAAACGATTCAAAGTATCAAGTGCCCACGATTAAGCACGGTGGCGGTTCGGTCATGACATGGGGTATAAGCTTCACTTAACTTAAAAAATGAATAAGTTTAGGTTGCTTTTCGCTTAGCGGTGTTGGTTCACTTGTCGAAATCAACGGAATAATGAATGCTGTAAGCTATCGAGACATTTTAGATCAATAAATGCTTCCGTTTGCTCAACAAAATTTGGACCCCGATTGGTTGTTCATGCAAGACAATGATCCGAAGCATAAGGCTCGACTTGTTTCTCAATGGTTTCAACAATCAAACGTCGAAGTCTTGGAATGGCCGGCCCAAAGTCCGGATCTCAACCCTATTGAGCATCTTTGGGCGGAATTGGATCGACAAATTCGGACACGAACATTCACAAAAACCACCGAACTCTTCGCCGCGCTTAAAGATGAATGGGCCAAAATTCCTCAGGCCACTATCGACAAATTGATCAATTCGATGCCACAGCGTTGTGCAGCAGTCATTACCGCTAAAGGTTTTGCAACGAAATATTAGTTATTCTTTGTTAATTTGAAATAAATTGTCCGTTTTCTAAAGCGTGTCCAAAGTTATAACCCCCTAGAAAGTGGGGGTCTCGGGTAAAGTAGCTCAAAAATGGATGAGAATAAAAGTAAAAGCCAAATTCATGCAGAAATAATGAAAAGGGATAAAAACTGTATAAAATAGTCGATTTCGGTAGAAAAAGCTCTTATTAGCAAAAAGAACGAACAAATTATAGTTTAACGCGCGAGGTGTGTCCAAAGTTATGAACCCTACTGTATCTCAAATAAGATCAAGATGTAAATATACCTTCTTTCGATAATTTCCCACATAACAAGTCCCAGACTGTAGACATCATTTCGATGGGAATCCTGGAATGAATATTTCTGATCATTGGATAGAAAAGAATGTCAAATTAACCGATGGATCAGCTTTCATTTGTTCATAAACATCCCGTCGTTCCTCATCCTTCTGCATATTGGGTGGACTTATATATCGTGGTGTTCCAACAAACGTCCCCGTAACAGTTCCATTTTCCAATACTTTTACCAATCCGAAATCTCCAATTTTCAGTTGGTATTCATTGGTCACAAATATACTATAAATGTATTGAACTTCGACATTTATATCACTGAATATTACTTTTCTGGTTTGATATCTCGATGTACCATTTTGTGTTCCTGATACATGTGGTCAATGGCATCAAATAATTGGATTCCCCATGTGAGAACAGTGTTCATTGAATATTGAATTTTTGGGTCAAGGATGACTAAACTATAAAATGTAACAATTCCTGTCCAATCCCAACCTTCTTTGAGTGGTCCCTTCTGACAATATTCCATTACAATCCCCACTCTTCTTCCTTCTTCTCTATATCGATACAATCGGACAACATTTACATGATGGATCTTCGTCAAAGCTTCACGTTCATTTTTGAAGATCTTCAATTGTTCATCATTTCCACAAAACATATATTTGATTGCAGCTGGGCTAAAGAAAGAAGTTATGCAAAAGACTAAAGATCGAGCATGACAATGAATAGATCCAAATAACCAACGGCTTATGTCCAATCAATTCAAGCATCACCATATGCTCCTTTTCCAATAGGTCGTCCTTTGGGTTCCTGGTTTGTTGCCATAATTCATGAAAAAGTTTAGCGTCGGCTGCTAAAACTCCAAATATCTCTGGCAATGATTTCAGATTGAATTAAAGTTAAAATGAATACAATTGCTTTTAAATAATCAGCGTTAGATTTCTTCTAAAAAATCAGTTAAAGAACTTGATCTGCTTTAAATTTTGACCCTCTCAGAGGTTGGATGACCTAAAAAATTTTTGGATAAGAATCATGATTTCGAAAAAAATATAAAAATCGCTTTAAACGCCAGAACTACTTCTAAAAAAATTAAGTCAAAGTTTCTCTTGTTAGACAGTCTGTAACTCTTCTGTGTTACTGCTCTTTTACTGAATTCTTTGTCTAAAATTATCGAAAGCTTTTAACCGAAAATGACTCAACTGTGACACTGATTCATTTGATCGTAATTTTGAAACAAAGCCGCTTCCGGTAGACCCCAGTAATACTAATATGTGGCCCCTAAATGATAATTCATCAAACAAAGCTTACTGTTGCACAATTTTTTTCGGCTAGAAGGTCGGGCCAATTGTGATAAGAGACTGTCTCGGCCTTTGGTTGCATCTGTACGAGTTGTTTTTTCCTTTTTTTGTTGCAGCAACAATATTTGGTTCAATAAAGTTTTCGGAAACTATTTTTACTTTACAAAGGTTGTGCTTCATTAGTTATAATTAAAATCTGTTCCTTTTAAATAAAAGAAAAACAGAAAACTGATTACGGTCGAAAGTGACTGAGCATCTTGAAAATCACTATCACTTTCTGAATATTCAGTCGATTTCTATCGTAAGCATTTTCTCTATTCCACGGAGCCACCTGACGCCTAATTATTGTTCTTTTTGCCTTGTCTCTCTCTTTTTTTTATTTTTTGTTTTCGTAACCTTCTTTTTTTTTTACGACGAACTGGTGAAACCTAGGAATTTCATAGGTTGTCGACTTTCATTGCTTGATTAAAACGGTGTCCTTCCAAATTCTGCTAACAATTTTCTCCTTCAAATCACAGTAAAACAGAACAGCCTTGAAAATGAGTATTCATTTGTCTTTGTGTGATCAAGTTGAGAAAAATAATTTTTCATAAATGAAGTATTACATAGTCGAAAACTTGACAATTTTTGAGTGCGTCATCTTCGAATTACTCTAAAACGAGTTAGGATCATGAAAATTTCACGAAAACTTGCCAAAATTATCTAGAAAGTCTGGAGATTTGAAATCTTATATGTATTTCACGACTTAAGAAGTCATTTAGCTCTGGGCTAACCACCAAATCTGTTAGGCGTTTCTCGGACTGTATTTTTGTGTTGATTAGCCTTTTTTAAGTGTTTAACTGAATGTTTCTATTTTAAAAAAACTCGTTAACTTTGCTTTTGTATGTGAAATTGATTCAGATCACAATACCCTATAAGTTGATGCGGGTCAACTCTTTGTTTCTAACCTCATTTTTTCTTTGTATTCAAATAGAAGCCAACAAAGAGAATGCAATAAAAAGTCAAGCGGTGATCAAAGAACAAGCAAAGTTGAGCCTGTTATGCTTTGCCGTAATGATTACCCATTTCAGCTTCATTGAACTGGAAGCCGGACAAAACGTGACACTTATAAGCCCGAAAAACAAAAACTTCAAGTCAGAGTGCGTTTGTTTGTTTCACCCTCAGCATTTAGGTGGTCTTTTCAAGGGAGGTCACATCGAGAATTAAGCGGTTTCTACAAAACTAGCTGGCTCAGTAGAATTAATGTCACGGAAAATGCACAGGTAAAGGATCATCTATGTTTTTTTTCATCTGCAAATCTATTACCAGAACTCAACTTTTCATGTTCGAGATTTAAAAGCCACAGATACTGGCTTATACTTGTATGGCGATGAAAACAAAAACGAGTTCTTGACTGCCGTTTATCTTTTGTTAGAGGTGAGAATGTGCATTACAGGTGAAAACACCTAATCCGTTTTTGTTTGTAAGAATCCGATTTGACCAATTTATCACCAGAAATTAAACTGAAAAGTTGCAGATTTTCGGTAGTTTTCGAAAGTTATTTTCATTTTTGGGTAGAAGCCTCAGTTTCGAAGTTATAAGTTTTTTTCGACAAGCGTCTCCCGACAGTTATTTATTTCTCGAACATCAACATCCAAAAAAACGTTTTATGAAAGCTTGACAACCTAGAAGATTAAGATTCAGGATATTAGATTGGCAACTTGAAAGTTGGTACACTTATTCCGTTTACTTTTCAAAAATAACTAGTACACCAATTAATTTTCAATTTTTACCAATAAAAAGTCTATTTATTCTCTAAAAACAGGCTTTTGAAAGCTTCGGTTTTTTAGGTTTCTCGGGGCAACAAGTTGAGGAAACAAAAATGATGAACGCTCAATGAAGCGATTTAAGTACTTTTTTTCTAATGAAAACCCATTTTGTGTCAATATCAAAAAAGATAGCGCATTAAAAGTTAGACATGAACCAAATTCGCAGCTCGAGACAATCAATTGTTTTTGCTACAGTTCCATTTAAAGAATTTGTAGAAAAACTTGAGTTTCTGCCCAAATTCGCTTCCAAAAGTTACCCAAATTTGCTTAAACATGTCTTAAATTAGATAATATATAAATAATATTTAGTGAAGTCTAATTCAATTCGCGTATTAAGTATGTTTTATGAAAAATAGGAAAAAGTGTACCCACTTTTAAGTTGCTAATCTAATATTTGAATGTTTTATCCATGCCATTAATTGAAGGACGTACTAGATGTTGACAAATCGGCTCATCTGTGCTCTTACAAACAAAACAGATTATTTCAGTCTGTATTGATTTAGAAGATCCGGTGATAAACTCTAATTTTGATACATTGATTTTGGTACATTTAGATCACAATACTTTTCTGAAAACCGAGATATATATAATTTCCCTCCATGCTGCGTCAAATTTGGTCATTCCGTGTGAAACGACGTGGAATGTGACAAGTAGGTTCTGAAAAGCGATCCTTTTTCGATGAAAACCTATTGAAGAAAGTCGAATGCAGCTATTTTTGAATGGCGTGGAGTGGAAAATCAACGAGCATTTCAACCCAAGGTTTCTTTATTTTATAGTACTTATGAAAAAGGATTCCATTTAGACAGGGTTATATAATCCCAAACGAGTCCTTGAGAGAGCACTTGGTTGCGAACAAGATGTTGCTACGGTGTCAATACGAGGAAGAAAAAGTCGAGTTTTTGGTGAACATTCTCCAGGTTGGATATGCAGCTTACAGAAGTCATAAATATACTTACACTTCAGCAGCTTCCACGTTCTCGTGAACTCATGCCGTTACTACGCAAAGAACTGGGTAAGCATCAAAGAAGTGCAGATGCAGATGTTTTTTTCCGGACTCAGTTCTCGAAAATCAGACTTTTGAATTTCACTTAGAAAAAAAAATTTGCTTTTAGAAAACGGTACAAGCTCTTACTCGAACGGAACAACTGATTACATTCACGTACGTTTGGATTCTCACGGCAAGGCTGTTCCACAAGTCTAATTTTTGAGTATGACCGGTTATATGGCCTGGCCAGCTATGGCTTATGGCCTCGAAAAACAGCCCTGTTTAGCAGCTTGGATGTTTTTGGTTTTTTTAAGATAATCTGTTTATAAACTCAAGGGATGATTTTTAAAATTCCATAAAATCTTTGCATGCTTAGAACTTTTGACAGAGTGCTTTATAGCAGAAACTAAAACCATATTCGGAATCAGCGTGAAATTCTGCATCGAATGGTATATATCGCATGTGATTTGGTCACCTTGCTCACTTGACCTTCTCTTCTCAGTACTCGAAGATGCATTAGAAAAATATCACTTTGCAACTGTAGATTTGCAAAGCTTGCGCATGATCGTTTAACTAGGAACATTTGCAAAATGAGCCTTTGTCAGTAAATGAAAATAATGATGTTCTTGTTTAGATTGCGGCACATGCTCGCGAAATACATGTGAAAGAAGGAAACCCCATTGAATTGAATTATGGTTTGTTCTTTGACGTGATAAAACAATCGGCTTTTCAGCAGTGATCCACCACAATAGAGCTTTGTTCGACTGCAGCTCGACATGGGTTAGTGTGCACTTAAAAATTGAAATTTGTTTCTCGCACATCTTCACGCATTTTCTAAAGCACTAATTGAGAAAACTACCGTAATAAAAAGTGCGTTTTGCGTAAATGAAACGTAATAAATACTAATACTGAGTGAATTTGTCTAATTTGATAGTATCATTTTTCCTTGTCGAAATGCTTCAAAATTAGGGTGGTTTTTATTACGTTTTATTTTTGCAAAACTGGCTATTTGATTACGATCGTCTTCTCAAATACTTATTTCCCTCTATTAGTATTGCGCCTTCTAATAGTATTGCACCAATAGTATTGCGCAATACTAATAGAGGAAATAGAAAGTGTTAGAAAACCCGTAAATTTTGAGGAACACACTCTACTGATTCTAAAAACTCTATGCAACATTTTAGCGTTTGAAACTTGAAGGCGACAATTCTAATTTCGTCGCTCCCATCGAAAACGCTAAATCTATTTGTTTTATGGATTCGAGCATAGGGATGGAACGGATGCTAAGAGAAATCCAGATTCCAAACGCCCAGTTGAACAACTCTGGAACGTGGGGAAGGGAATATTTTTTTTTAATTCAGTGTGTGTTTCAGCTATACACTAACGATGGACAATGGGGCATTCAAGCATCAACTAGCTGGCATGTTTTGGTGGATGAACCGAAGAAACGGGTCAACTTGACGGTCCTTACTCCACACAATTTCGTCTTCGACGATCAGAAACACTATAAAGTAGGATTTACAGTGAAAATCACAAAAAAACACCATTAGTCGTAAATAAAAACAATACGTTTTCTTCCCCTTGAAATAAATTTGCAAGAATTTTTAATTGAAGTGACTGCATCATGCATTCTTGAACCATGAATTATGAAGAAAGATTCTAAAAGACTTTCTGACCAGCCTAATACAGGGTGGGGGCAAAATTACGGATACACCTTTTCAACAGATTGCCTAGCAAACGCCGCAAACATTTCAAAAACCTTGAGTGTTATATAGAAATTGAAGCCTGCATTCTTGCCTACATTTCTGTACCAAAAAATTTTTGATGAGAGTTTTGCAACCCATTTTCCGACCCCCAAATGAGTCCAATGCGATCAATCTCCCCGGCATGCTTCCATTTTTAGCTGTTTTCTAACTAGAAAACTTGTAGGTAGGTGGAATTTTTCTTTAGTAAAAGTACATTTTTATTCATTTAAAAATTATTTCTAACAAATTTACAGCTTTAGGACAGCACGTACGGGCATAAAAGCTAAGAATTGAACACCCCAAAAACCCAAATTTCCGTCAAAATTGCCGAACATCCAAAGAGGGCTATCCTTAATTTAAGTTCTGGTTAGGTTAACATTGTCAAACCACTTTGGCGTTATCATCGTTTTTCATACCATTCAAAATGCTATCTTTTCATATACTAACTGCGCTGGGAAATTCTACTTAAAAGAATTTTATAGTTAGAAAACAGCTAAAAATGGAAGCATGCCGGGGAGACTAATCGCATTGGACTCATTTGGGAGTCTGAAAATGGGCTGCAAAACTCTAATGAAAAATTTTTTGGTACAAAAATGTAGGCTAGAATTCAGGCTTCAATTCTCTATATAACACTTAGAGTTTTTGCAAAGTTTGCGGCGTTGCTAGGCAATCTGTTGAAAAGGTGTATCCGTAATTTTGCCCCAGCCTGTACAACTAATGGTGTTTTTCGTGTCTTTGACTATTGACTAATGTTTAATTCATGATGAAGGAAAAAGAGAATTTAGAAAGGGTCAACTATTCAAATTTGCTGTCTTTCCAACGGATTTCCTCGTGAAAAATTACAGTTATCATATCAACAGTAAGAAAATATAAAAAGTTCGCAAAATGATAATTTGCAGAAACAATTTGCTGCACCGCGTCAATCAAACTGGAAATTGAAATCCAGGGCTAAATAAAGAGGTGAAAATGGTATGGAATGTCACTGTTGACAAAGATTTCCTCGTGATTTGTAAAGCCGATGATTTCCAGAACAACATACGGGTAAGGGCTATTTTTTCGAATATCTTTGAAGTTTGGATAAATTTTAGGTTGCAGAGAGCGATTCGTTGAAGATCATAGTAGCTGAACAAACAGTGTATTTAAAGACGGAAATCACCAAAAGTCCTAAGGCAACCAAAGAAGAAGCGGTTTGTGTCAAGAGTTAACAGGAAATCCCATTTATAGGGCACAATCTACCCTGGGGATCAGATAAAGCTTTTCTGCAGTGCTGCCAATGACGAACACGTGTGGGTGAACAAAAACTTGAGAGCACTGAATAGTCGAGATTTCTGAACACACCTAATTATAACTATTGCCTTCACTAAAGAAAGTCCAAGCTTTTCGTGAGCTTTAAGATTTAATAATAAAGTCAATAGGTAATCTCAAATAGAATGGGCCCTGTCGATTAAACAAATTATAATTGGTTAAAAGTAGCATTTAAAAATTAACCAACTAACCAAGAATTAACCAGATAAAACGTTGGCCAAAGGGCCGATTAGTAGATTTGTAGGCCGATGACTGAATATCTTAAATTTTCGCTTGTAGGCTAGGAATTTACTATAAATACGTGCGCAAATATTATATTTTCATAAGTTCATTTTTATTCATGCTTTTGTATTTGATTCAGCTGTCAAAAGCGTATCATTTATTCTAGCATATTACTAGAGATGGAAGTTGTGGTTGAGGTGGAGAAGCAAATTTCTTGAAAGAACATTGGCTATCTGTAAAAGTCTACCTACATCTCCCAAACTACATTCTGCTTATTCGACATATTACCAGAGTTCTGAGCTTAAATCGTTTAATCTAAAAGAGAATGTTTTGAGTGAAAACTAGAGGGAAAAAGGAAAAAAGTAAGGGATAAATTGAAATTCCCAGTGATTAATCAGCCATTGTACAATTAATTACTTTTTAATCAAATTATATAAATTTGACCAAGAGGAGCCCACTCTAATCTCAGAAGAATGTTGATTAAGAACGTATTTGTAAAAGTAAAAGACTCCTTCGCAAGCTCAATGCGACAGCGCTTTTGCTCGATAGAGTTTATCTTCTGAAAGTCCTAAGGTTTGTTCTTTTTTCACAATTAGCTAAATTGCTCTTGAATTGAAAAGTTTGTTCTTTGAACGAGAGTATTTATCTTTCGTGCGCAAAATGAGTCATTTTCCATGCGTTTAGTACGGAAATGCGATGGATTTATGGAAAATAATACGCTTTTTGACCCAAAGAAAACCGTCACCACCATTCACTTGGTCACAAGAGATCATGGTGAGGGTGAAAAAACTTTGACTTTTGACCTAGTGATGTTTTCAGAACATCACCGCTAATCAATCAGGCTTATACACATGCGAAGTGAGATTTCGAGCCTCTCAGGTGCTCAATGAATCAATTGAAATAAAGGTTTAGTTTTTTTTAATATTCTTTGTTTTTACAAAAAGCTTCAAGGTTTCTGAAATGTCGGCTCCGGTGGTTCTAGATAGTAAAAATGCGAAGATTCAAGCTAAACTCGGGATTCGAAAATTCTTGAATGCAAAATTTGAAGTGTTCCCAGGCCGACCATTTCATGGTTTTTAAGCTGGTTTTAGTAAAAAAAGAGGCGTTCAGGGTGGAAAGACGACTCTTTGCTGACGGATAAGCTTCATGAATGGCTCCCCAATGATCGAGAAAAATCACCAGGGTAGATAGTGGTGTCTACAAGTGTGCAGGAAGAAATCGAGCAGGAGAAACGACCCGAGAAATTTCCCTCGAGGTACGTTGGAAAATTTTATGACATCAATTAGGTTATAAACTATGTATTGATAACCTTTTCAAACTCAAAAATCGTGCTTACCATCAATTGTTTTGATTTTTGTTGCATAATATCCTGCAAAAAGCTAAAAAGTTTATGTCAAAAAATGAAAATCTGCTTACTGGAGAATCTTTAATATTAGATGAAAATAAGCCTTTTGGCCTTGTTTTCCAAAGTAATTCAATTTCATCTTTTCATTTCATAAAAAGTTCTTTGATGACAAAACGGAGATTAAACTGCATAAATTGTTTTTTTAATGCATCTCCACCAAAACTTTCAGAGTGAGAAAAGTGGTCTTTGAAAAATTACAATGCTAGAATTTTAGGCTCACCTCTAACATTTTGCAAATTTACCACAAAGGAATAAAGGGAAATCAGTTTGAAAAATGGAACTTCATACGAAATAATCACTGAATCGAATAGTGTTTATTAGTTTTAAGTGAAGTCATTTTGACTTATAATCGAAGTGCTACTTTGCATTTGTACAAACCTCGATTGATTACAATTACAATTGATTGTAAAATGTGTTGATGATATCCTCAAAATGCAAACATTTGATTGAATCATTCTATTTTGCTTTATGATATCCTATAGGAATATTGAGAAATTGTTTCAAGAAATGGGACCCGATTCATGGAGAACTTTTTGTATTTGATTAATTTTATTGGTTCAATCGTTTTGTACTTTATAGCAAATTTTTGAATATATTGTGTTGGGGGAAAAGTCTTTGTCGATTTTTGGGAGAGGGTCTTAATCTTGTTCGACCTGACGTTTATCAGCTCATTCGATCGGAGGATCGAGGCTTCGATTCCGGGGCAAGTCAGTTTTTAAAAAAATTTTTGCTAAAAAAACAATTTTATTGCATTCTAGGGTAATTTTTAACGCTGATTCAGAAAAACATGGTTTCCAGCATAGGTTTCCATACAAAAACAAATAAAGTTAATTTTTTTTTAAATTTCCCGTCAAAGGCACTTCAGTAAAGCTGTCCTTTGAATCTTTGAAATCTTTAAAATTTGAAAGTTGATGAATCGACAAACGTTCCTTTTATTCAATCCGCTAGATAATTAGCTTTCGAATGAGCTATTAAACGTCCAGATCGAACAATAATAAAACCATATCCCAAAAAAAAAATCGGCAAAGACTTTCCCCCGACCCAATAATTCAAAAAAATTTGCTATAAAGTAGTGCGGGCACAAAACGATTGGACCAATAAAATTTATCAAATACAAAAAAAGTTCACCATCAACTTGGTCCCATTTTTTTAAACAATTTTTCAGTATTCCTATAGAATATGATGAAAAAAAAAATAGAATGATTCAATCGAAATTTTTGCATTTTGAGAGTGTTATCAACACATACTTTTGTAACCTAATAATTGTAATCAATCGGGGTTGTACAAAAACAAAGTAGCACTTCAAGCATTTCAAGAGCTCAATGAATCAATTGAAATAGGTAAAGGCCCAGTATCTTATACTCTTGGTTTGACAAAAAAGACAACTTTAGTTTCTTGAAATGACAACTCCAGCACCTCTCGATAATCAAAACAAAGAGATTCAAGCAAATCTCGAAGATTTCAAACCATATTCGAATCAATTACGGGTAGGAGAAACAGGCCAAAAACTAGCCCTTGAAGTTAAAAAAGCTCTGGAAGAAATATTTCTTTAGGTGAAAGGAGAAACGGGAAACCTCATCGATCCGTTACTGACCATATCACTTGTTCTTCTATTAGTATTCATTTGTATATTTGTACCTTTGTGGTGCAAACGAAAAGCACATATCTGCGAGCAAAAAAGGTTAGCAGACTTGAGCGCAAACGATGGCATTTATAGACAAGATGCACGTAAACTTTAAGCTTCGGAAAATCAATGTATGATAAATTGCCACATGGTGGTGACTCATGTCCAAGGAGATGAAACAAAAATACCACTTCACGAACGAGTTGATCAACTGGTCTATAAGTCCGAATATGAAATCGATAGTGCAAGCCTGGAAATTCTTTGCGAAAAGAGGGTGAAAGCGTCTTTTCAAGCTAATTAAAAAGAATTTAGCTTGAATCGGAGAGTTCGGCAAGGGTTTCGATGGGCGTCTTGAGGAAAACGGCGCTAACTCACCAGCAATCCAAGAAAAGCCTTAAAGTGGCCGTCAAAGTATGCAAGAGTATAACGAATGTCGCTTCCTAAAGCGACATATTTTCAAAAACTACCGTAAACCAGCTGCCAGATTTGATTCAAACGACTCAATGTTGACATCATCCGATACGATCATTCTGTGATATCAAAGCAAAGCCGCTTAACCAAACTTGGTGGCAGGTTACGATAGGCTGCGAAAATATTAGATTGGCGGCTTGAAAGTGGATAGACTTTGTCGTATTTTTCATAAAACATATTTAATACGCGAATTCAACTAGTCTTCCCTAAACAAATGTTATCTATTATCTAATTTAAGACATGCCTAAGCAAATTTGGGTAACTTTTGAAACGAATTTGTGCAGAAGTTCGGAGTTTGTTTGAAAATTCTTCAAATGGAACTATAGCAAAACGATTGATTATATTGAGCTGCGAATTTGGCTGTATCTCTAACTTTTTATGCTCTATCATTTTTATCGTGACAACAAAAATGTGTTTCTTTGGAAGAAAGTGCCGAAATCGCTTCATCGAGTGCTCATCATTTTTGGTTCCACAACTTGTTGCACCCTAAAAACCTAAAAATCCGAAGCTTTTAAAATCTGTCAAAAGCCTGTTTTAGAGAATAAATAGACTTTTTTTATTGGTAAAAATTGAAAATTAATTGGTGTACTAGTTATTTTTGAAAAAGTAAAATAAATAAGTGTACCAACTTCCAAGTTGCCAATCAAATAAGTGTCTTTAGGAAACCGCGAGGAACGTCTTGAGTCAAGAGTGCGTTCTGACGATTCTGTTTCAGGAACCTCGACATTCATTCAATCCCGAGCATCTGCAAATGCTAATCGCTGAACTGAAGATCATGTGCGCCATTCCTTTGCATCCCAACGTGCTCGCTCTCATTGGGGCGATTATAAACCCTATGAATACAAAGTTTGTATTCAGCTTAGTTTGTGGTTTTACTACTTTTAGTGGCTCCTTGTGTATGATAACAGAGCTATGTGAAAGAGGGAGTCTCTAGGATTTTCTTGTTAATCTTAAACGAACCCCTGGAGCTTTTCGACATGACTTGGTAAAGGTTTGTTTAAAGAATTTTTCAGATACCCAACCTCAAGTCAACGCAGAAAAGGTAAAATCTGTGTACACTAGTTATTCAAGAGAACTTTCACTTGCTCATTATTTGTCTAAACGATTTAGGTTTCAGAAAACGATTATCTAAGCATGAATTCGAGAGCAAAGAAAGTATACATTGTAAGTAACTTTGTTTGTTTCCAATCTCAACCATCAAAGAACATTGAAAGCGAATCGGGAAACTGCGATGATTCTCGCAAAGAGGCAGATGAAAAAAGGCGCTGAGTGACGAAAAAGTCGTGCAATTATCCTTCTTTTGTCATTGATTTCTTGGTTATTTGTTCTACAGCCGATTTGCTTTCGTTTGGTGTGCAAATTGCATCAGGAATGGAGTATTTGAGCAGCATTCCGGTTTTCTTGAAATGAGCCCATTCAAAATTTTTTATTTTTTCAGTGTATTCACCGGAGACCCAGCTGCTCGGAACATTCTCCTCACGAAAAGCAATATTTGTCGAATCGCTGATTTTGGGAAGGCCAAAAGCGAGAACAAAAATTATTATAGGTTTCCTTGTTTGAGTATTGAGTAAATTGAAGAAATTTCTTTTTAGAAGAAAAAGATATGACATCCCGGTGCCAGTGAAATGGATGAGCCCGGAAGCTTTTGAGAAGGGTTATTACACAAGAAGCGGGTTCGTTTTGTTTTGCAATTAACAATACGGGGTCACCGGTGGGCCGTACGGATGACGAATATCTTGCTGAGTTAAAGCGGGTTTTTGATGATTTTTTGTCGCTCATTTCGCAGCAAATTTCTCAGAAATTTGTCCTGGTTTTGTAGAGTGTATACAGGGCTATCGAATGAGCTATCATAGTTTGGTTTATTTATAAATTCTCATTGAATTACAAATGAAACAGTTAACGACTACGCGCATGTACGATCAAAAGGCTCTCAGTCGCTAATGTGTTAATTGATTCTAAACAAAGTTTCTTTTAAACTATGTATTCTGCATCTTGTTTTTGAGTTTACTGTGATAATCATATGTCCCAATATTTAATATAAATAAAATAGAAGAGGCGCCTGTCTGTTTGTTCATCCACAAACGCGACGCTCCATAATTACGTTTGCTCTATCGGTTAAAAAGAAAGGTGGTTAAGCTTGGATTTTTTCTTCTGAGGGCTTCTCAGCTATGGGGAATCTGACTTTTAGGTTCATTTTTAAAAAGGAGCCGCAGAGCTTAACATCGGTCTAGTTTTCCGCCGGTCTATTAGATAAAGAAGAAGAGACGTGTGTTTGTCTGTGCGCAAACGCGTGACGCTTCGTAATTACGTTTGTTCTATTAGCTAAAAGGCAAAAGTATTCAGCTTTCGCGAGAGAGATGATTTTTACGCCAGTTATGCGGGAATCTAATTTTTAGGGTCCCAGTTTTAAAGAGGGGGTGGGGCTTGAGCATCGGTTACAATAAGCCTTCTCCAGCGGAAAACGCAAACGGAGTGAGCTCTTTTCCGCTGCTAGGTAGCCCCCCGCCAAAAAGTACCAAAAGTAATATCTCAAGAACAAGTCTCATAAAAATCTAAATAAGCAAGTGAAAAGAACCAAAAAAATTTCAGCCAGACGTTTGGTCACGAGGAATCTTGCCGTACGAGATTTTCACGCTTGGGGCAAATCCATACTCAAAGCTTGACTCATTTGCAGCCGTGACACAAAAAGTGGCCTCGACGGGGAACTACTTCCACAACCGCCGTTTGCTCCCGATGAATTGCTTGGCGTCAACTTAGAAACGTATCAGTCGTAACAATTTTAGATACACGCTTCTATGCGGAAGTCGTTGGGAGCTTGATCCAAAAGATCGGCATCTCTTTGCGGTTAGGTTATCGAAGCCGAATCGTACAAAACTCGTTTTCAGTACTGCTTCGAACAGCTGAAATTATCACTTACACCGAGCTTCTCCGAGTCACGTGGAAGAATTGGAAATAAGCTCGTTCAGGAAAGTGCCTTGCTTAACTCGTATGATGGGTGGAGATTAGATGTGCTAGCGGAGAGTCAGGTGAACTTTTTACAAAAATTGGCCTTAACGAAACTAAGGAATTGACCTTAACGTCTAAATTTTAGCGCTACCTACCCTGTCATGTTACCCACGATGACCAAAACTGGAAATAAATAAATTATTTACAGAAGAAGTTTCTTGTTACTCACTTTGAAGTTTTCAGTTTTCTGCTTCCGTTATTCTTTCATAATATTCAACTTGTTTATTTCGGAGATACATTAAATCCTGGTTTATTCATAAACCAAAAAAAATCAAATATTTCAAGTCAAAAAATCTTCAAAAGTATTTACCAAGATTGTCTTCTTAAAATAGCTTCACAACCCCTCGTATCCTGAACGTCTTAATTCTTTTCTCTCTTAAATCCTTAATCCATCGTCGACTCGAGACAATCTCTGCTTTGCTCATCATATTCTTGATTCTCCATATTTCCCATCCCAAACTAAAATCACTTCTGATTTTATCAAAAGACTCGGACAGCTTGATCCCCCAACCAAAATTTTTTCCACCAGATCCACGAGCGGTATTTCACTCTATTTCTCCCCCAATAAATTTTCTAGAATTTGGGATTTGTTGCCAAAGGCAATTCCTGTGAATCCAACTCTTATTATACTCTTTAAAAGTCATACAAACCGAAAGCAAAATTCATCAGAATTATATGCTCGCTTACTACGCAAAAATCCTGTATCCAGTCGGTCAGCTCGACCAGAAAAAAAAAAAAGGCAGATTATTTTATCTTATTTTTTCATAACTTTTTTGTTTCGTAGGAGATCATGTATATAGGCTGGAAAGCTAATCGTGGTGGAATTTTTCACAATTAACTTACATAACCTAATAAATTGATTTGAAGGTAGTGCTTTAAATTCAGCTTTATCATTCATTCATTTAACAAGTTCGTGAATTCTAGGCTGTAATTTGAACTCTGAATTTTGCTGGATAGTCATTGAATTTAAATCGAATTAATTTATTCTTCAGTCTCTACAATTTTCTTTTCTTTTGTTTGATGTAAATTTACTATGTGCAATTAAACATGTCTCCTGTTTCTTTTTCATGCTCATGAGAAAAGCATCGATGTATATAAACGAGCATAAAGAAAAAATTACACAAAAAGTAAGGATCAGATAATGAGTTAAAAGTATCTGATTTTTTCAAAAGTTCACAAAGTTGAAAAGTAATAATATTCTTTGGGATCAGAATTGATATGAGCCTACAAATACACTCACTCTAAGGGTTTTTCTCTCTCATTGAAATGAAAATCCATAGAAACTAAATGCCCTTTGAAGGTCTTATCCTTGAACCCAGCCTTTTTTCCTCACTCATTGTTACTCGGTGCAATAGTTTACCTGAGTCTGGTAGGCTCTTGTTTATATAAAATTTAAAATAAGTTTTGAAATCAATTTCTACTTTTCTCTTACTTTCTTGCTGTCATTTATCCATATCATGTTCATATTTCACTTCACATAATACATTTTTTCAATAGCGTGTTTAAAAGAAAGGTTTAATCAACAGCTTTCGGATTTCCCGCACAAAGTCGATACTAATTCGCGCTAGGAATAGGGGGCATTTCAATGGCAAAAATGATCATTTTCCAAAGATTTGAATAAGTTATCATTTCATCTCCTCAAAACGAGAGTGTAACGATCAACAAGATCACGCGTTGGATACTCTTGAGGAAAAGATGGAGAAGGAAACGGTAACCTGCCACAGAGTTTTGCCTTTACAAAACAAAAGGAGCTTTTTGGCTGAAATGTTGAATATGCAAAAATTTGATTACTGAGCGCTGTGCTTCTCCTTTTAGGCCACTTTTTCCAAAGGCATCCATTCTACTACTGTAATCAAACCGTCGCTTATCGGAATCGGGCAAAGCCTCGGTACATCAAATGGAAAAGGTGTCAATCTTGAATTGAAATGAAATGAAAGATTTTTAAGAACTTGTGAAAAAGTATTTTCAAAATTTATGTAAAAACACCAACATTGATTACACAAATGATTTTTGGCTGGTAAAGAATCTGGCATTTCGACGGTGCCATTGTTGGAGATTCTCACGATTCAAACGCTATCACATAGTTGAGGGCTTTGCTGGAAACGATTTGAAGTGGTAAAGCGATAAAATTATAAATATAAATATATCTTTATGATTTTGGTGTCATTTTGTTGCACTTTTTTAAGCATGCAATACATTTTAGGTGCTTTTCCCCACGCAGCCGTTCCCAAGACAAAGCTGAATTTTTTCTTGCAAAACCTCTAAATTCTAACCTCTAAAACCTGCAAATTCGTTTTTGTAAAAGACGTTCAACATTTTTTTGATTGATTGAGCATTATTTTTGTAAACAAATTGACAAAAAAGGTACTCTAATTTTCGTTAAACTTCAAAAGTAATTTCTTGCATATATTGTTCAAATTCAGAAAATTTCATTTTTCTAAACAAAGCGTTTTAGCTTAAAGCTATACAGGGTGTTTCATAAAAAAAGTTTTCAAATCGAATTCCCTAAAAAGTTCTAATGGCTGTATGTGGCACAAATGCCAAGCCAAAAACTTGGATAATCACCCAAAGTTGATTGCAAACAAAAAGCAAAAGATTCGATTTTTTACGTGGCCGTCAAAGTGTGATTGACCCGAGAGCTGTGTGAAGCATTGATTGAAAGGAAAAGGGGAAAGAGAAAGAAACGAATAGCCGAAATAGGGAAAAGACAAGCAAAGGGAAGGCCTGAACAGACCTTTTGAGTCAACAACACACACCCAGCAAATTTCGATGAAGAATTCATGTGAATTGTGGAACAAAACATGATCGTGAGTGGAAGTAATTGGGAAGAATAGCTAATTTAAATGCTAATTTGATTGGTTATCTAAACAGAGCGTTTTCTAAAAGATGCTCAGTGAGCCAAGCTACTGTAATCGATGTCTTAACTACCGTAATCCAATCTATAAACTACCGTATGACACCTTACAGTCTGGGTTTCTTTTTAGATTCATTTCAGAGAAATTCGGTAGTCACTATTGTTATATCTACATTTGAATACCTAATCTAGTTTGGATATCTAAACTTTACATAATTTTTCTCAACCAACCTTCGATTCCTGGGGTGGCCATCGTTTTGTTCAACTTTACTTGATCGGTTTCTGAAATCGAAGGATAGCAGTTATCAATTGGCTAGTTATATCGTAAATTTTGAAATACTCAAACTTTTTAACATTGACTATTTTTTGTTCAGGTTCCCTATGCTATCATGAAGGGAAAGGCTGTTCTTGGACGTATTGTGCGCAGAAAGACCACCTCCTCAATCGCCATCGTTGATGTTAAGCCGTAAGTTTTACTGTTGCTATTGATAGCTGATTCAAATGTTATTGAATAGCTTGAATTTTTAGAGAGGACAAAGCCACGCTTGCCAAGATCACCGAGGCTGTCTCCAACAACTTCAACGATCGAGCGGACGAGATCCGTCGCCATTGGGGAGGCCACACGGCAAGACTTTTATAAAAACTTCAAACTTATTTCGGATTTAGATGTCTGATCGATCACAGGCCAAGGTCGCCAAGTTGGAACGCGCCAAAGCCAAGGAAGTTGCACAGAAGGCCTAATTTTGTTTATGTTTATTTACAAATGTTGTTCTTTGTTACAATAAAATTTGAAAAAACATAAACTAAATGCATTTTATAATTGGGTATTGACTTAAAGCATTAAACTACGAGCACAACACAGTCAGTTGCGACTTAAGAGGTTTTAGGTGTACGGGAATAATGCGTGCTAATCAGAGAGCAGTCACAAATTCAGTCGGGTGCGTTTTGAAAACTTAGGACACGGGCAGTTAAGTTGAGTCTTGATTTTGACACTCTGGAGGAAAAGATGGAGAAGGAAACGGAAATCACACAGTTTTGCCTTTACAAATAAGGCGAGCTTTTGGCTGAAATGTTGAATATGCAAAAATTTGATGACAAAGGCTGCTTACCTTTTAGGTCACTTTTTCCAAAGGCATCCATTCTACTACCGTAATCAAACTGTCGTCTTTCATTTTATCGGCTCAATTTTGACCACATTCGATGAGGAATTGCAAGGCTCAATCAATGACAACAAAATTGGGCTGTTTGAAAAAAAAAGGTGAAATGATTACGGTAGTTTTCGAAAAATGTTAGGAGTTTCCAGAAGTTTCCATAGTTTCCATAAGCACTTCGAAAAATCATCATGGCTTTGCAACTAATCCACTTTTTTTGCCTAATCTTTTTTTAAAAATAATTGGGAAAGTGTCTAAAATTTATCCCTGAAGTTTCATGCAAATTGCCCCTCTAGTACCTTGGGTTTAAACATTTTGAGCATTTCTTGTCCGAAATCTTCCCGTCTTTGAATTGATAAAATTTTCTATAAGTTACTACGATAAATTTTAAAGCCTTAATCCGAAGAAAACACAGAGCCTTTCATAAAAAAACGTTTTCAAATCGAATACCCATAATCTCATGTACAGAATATCAAGTTATGGTGAAAAAGAGAAAAAAGACACCAAAGCGGCCACATACAGCCATTAGAACTTTTTAGGGAATTCGATTTGAAAACTTTTTTTATGAAACACCCTGTATAGCTTTAAGCTAAAATGCTTTGTTTAGAAAAATGAAATTTTCTGAATTTGAACAATGTATATGTTACGTCCGAATCTGAGGAGACGTCCATCTCCGATCCGGATGTCCGAATCTGAGGAGATTCATTCTCTTCGGAAAAGGACGTCCTCTGAAAAGGACGTCCGTTTCGGAGGAGAATGATCATTCTTCTCGGAATCGGACGTCCGATCTTGAAGGCATAAATAGTTTAAATGCAAAATCCAATGTTTTGAACAAAACACATGTATTCAGATTGGACAAACACTGGATTTTGCATTTAAACTATTTGTTCTCAAGATCGGACGTCCGATTCCGAGAAGAATGATCATTCTCCTCCGAAACGGACGTCTCCTCAGATTCGGACGTAACATATGCAAGAAATTACTTTTGAAGTTTAACGAAAATTAGAGTACCTTTTTTGTCAATTTGTTTACAAAAATAATGCTCAATCAACCAAAAAAATGTTGAACGTCTTTTGCAAAAACGAATTGGCAGGTTTTAGAGATTAGAATTTAGAGGTTTTAGAGGTTTTGCAAGAAAAATTTGCGAAAACACGGACCCTGGTCGCATTTATACCACATGTACTAGCTATTGGCATGAAATTTCAAGGATAAATTTTAGATACCTTTCCAATTATTTTTTAAAAAAGAGCAGGCAAAAAAAAGTGAATTGGTTACCAAGCCAAGATGATTTTTCAAAGCGCAACAACTTATGAAAACCCTAATCGGCGCCTTATAATTTTAAGAAATATACCTTGGAGTTCTTTCATCGGCAACATTCTTCGTTTTTTTGACTCTCTTTTCGGAAATCGTTAGACAAAGCATGATCAAAATGCATCCAATCGAGACATTGCCAAGAAACAAAAGGACATAAATTACTGAAAACTCTATGCAGACATTCTAATCTCAAATGTTTTCAAACGAATTTTTAGAATTTTTCACCTAATAGCGGTAGGCTGGCCGTTTTGGGAATAGCACTCGCCGAGAGTTGCAACAAAACGGTCATCGAGATGAGGCTCATCAAACCAATCGTTAGCTGAACTTAAAATGATAAAAGATTTGAAATTATAGAAACTTGAACGTTGAGCATGTTTCTAGTGACTTCTTGCTTCAAATTGGTTTATTTTAGTTGTCTAATTAAATCTTAAATGTTTAAAATGTTGTGGTTCAAAGCTAATTGTAAGCAAAGTTTGAAGCACTATGATTTTGGAAAGCTGATGCTATTTTACTCAAAAACTAAACTACAGGGTGGCCGATAAGTATCTGGAAAATATATTGCACAAATTGAGCACTTAAAAACAGAAGCTATTTTGAGCTGGACTAGCAATAATTTGGCTAAGGAACCAAAGTTTCATTTATTCAAAACCATTTTCCGATTTTTCGCTCTATTCACATTTTCTAAGAGTTTCTTGTCCGACATTTAAGGCTTCTTTGCGGCGTAGCTTATTTTTGACTGTTTACGAGTGCTACCACTGAGTTCATTATTAGAAAATCTCTAAAAGAAAAATCTTTTAGAATCGATAGAAGGTTTTTATAAGTTCGCTAGTTAAAATTTAACCTTGCGCTTGATTTTTTTAAAGCAAGTAAAGTGAATCTAGCCATTTTATCAAAGAAAACCCAATTTTTTCGGATACTGATCGGCCATCCTGTAAACCTTTGTTAGCTGATCCCGCTCCTTTTTGATGGTCACCGTCCAGAACATGCCAATCACCGACAGGACAGAGACGACAAAACAAGGCAGAGCGACCATGTAGGCATAGAAATTGGGACCCCGTGGCAGGGTCACAATGTACTCGAACTAAAAAAGAACATCACAGGAAATGACACAATGACACAATTGGGGCACGTTCTTCTTTTTTAACCGTTGGCACTGCTAAATTAGTTATGCACTATGAAGATCAACGGTGCCATTGTTGGAGATTCTCACGATTCGAACGCTATCCGCGTACACATAGTTGAGGGCTTTGCTGGAAACGATTTGAAGTGGTAAAGCGATAAAATTATAAATATAAATATTAGCAATTAGGGAAAATGGGAGATAATTGTCGACTTATATGGTCGTTTTCGCAGGTTATATTTCTTTTTTGCTATTCGATTATTTCGGATCCTAATGATTCACCTTTTTTTTAAAAATCTTGAAAATTTCCACTCTCTTTTGTGTCGAATCAGTAATCGGCAGCTTTTCGTCGGTCTTTCCTTCCCTTGTTTCCCTTATGCTTGTCATTTCTTCTGTCCGTTTCGCTAAGTATTTTTTCATTCTTTGCAAAGTACCAAAAATGTTGTTTTATTTGGGCCGTTTTTCAATAATTTATTAAATTCTCATCTTCTGAGAGTCGTTCCTTTCTACTAACAAATACTGCTCCTGCATATGCAATTCATACAAAAAGATTACAGTCGATGGCGGTAAGCCATTTGCGTGATTAAAAAATGTGGTTGTCTGGCTTCAAACATCAAGAGCTGTCGACTTGATTTTTTGATTTTTATGATTTGGGTTAAATGTTCAAAATGGACAGAGTACGATTTTCAGATTTTATTTTGATTATAAAATTCATTAAATAAAATAGGAAAATTTTCTTGACCAAAGCTGCTAAAATTCTCTAGATCAAAGCAAGCAAAAATGTTTTACTGATATGTCACTTTTAGTTTTTTGAAAAACGAGCTGCTTACTGAGAAGTGTTTAAGTTTTTATTAGTTTTCAATCAATGATGTTCAGATATGAATTTTAAAAACTAAAAATTAACAAAAGGCTAGTCAGTTTGCTTTTTTTGCCAATTTTTCAGAATTTTCGGAACTTCTTTTTTGAAACAACTACTCGACTGTTTATTTACGGTTTGCTATCTTATATAGTTTATATAGTTTATATAGTTATTGCAGTTTTTCAAAGTATTGTAGGAGTAGTACTTTTATTTAAACTTTCCAAGTATTTGACAAGCAAAATGCCATTGTTTACCCCCTCTGAGTAAATTCAATGTCTCCACAAAGATCACCAAATCTTGTTCATCGCCAAGCTTTACCAGAAAAATTTGCATTTTCTTGTACTGTGTTGCTTCTTTTCGGATTTTCTCGATTTCTGCATCAAATCCATTCTGAAAAAACTGCGCATAAAGACGTGTTGCTGTCGTTTCGTTGGTGATTAATGAAGCTGAAGTTTTTTTTAATGAGTTCTCGATCTCTAGAGTTCTTGCCAGAAATGCTTTTTCAACATGAACATTTTTTTCGGAATTGGAAAGTAGAAACGCAAAATGGCCACAGAGTTCGGGTTTTTTTGGATGGAGGACCGTCAAGCAAAAGACGACTGGATTTGCGCTCATCTAGTTACTCATCGAACTCTCGGTCTGAATAATAGTCAGGGGAGCATTCGAGTTCGCCAAAACATCCCAACGTTCCAAAAGGTTTCCATTCAATTCGATGATTCGACATGTGGATAAAACCCCCATAAGTGCAATCATTTGAGATTTGAAAGAATTTTCCTCTTCCTCCATACCGACGCTGATTTCCAATGTCGCTTTTTCAGTGACGTTGGCGTGAAAATTATTCTCAAAAATTTCCAAAATCTCGCTCCTGTTTGCTGAGCAGCCACCATTAACCGAGGCACGGTTTTCATTTGCGGTAGAAAGATGGCATTTCCCCTAAGAGCTTCCGGAACAAGAGCCACCTGTTTGTTGATAGGTTTTCTTTTATTTCGGACCCCATGACAAAGTTCAGGTTCAGCCTAACAATTCCGGTGCCTCAACGAGGTTCCACACAGTTGCCAGGGCTTCGCGTGTCGAAATGTTTCGTTGGTGTGTTCACCATTTGCGTAAAGATATGTGGTGCCATTGTAGATTGAGAATACGAGATCAATGTCGTCGAATTTTAATTTGCACCGAGAACGTGGGCTCAAAATCGGCACTCTCCATCGGCCGATAGCTGTCCAGTTTCAAGCAAACAGTGTCACCATTTTTCACAAACAAAATCGGGGAGTTTTTTTTTCGGGTAGCTCTTTGGGGCGATCGAAATACGTATTGCTTGCATGATGGGGATTTTTTCCAGTACCGTTAGAGTGAATCAACAAATCGGAATTCGGCTCTTCCATCTGTTTTTTCTCAGAAAAAGCAAATGACGAAATATAGAAAAATAGAAGCATGACTAAAAGAAAGACAAATATTGGACCCTAAAAAACAGATGTGGTTCTCTTTCCTCTCCCTCAATTTCCAAGGCAGTCTCTCCGTTTGGTGGGGTCCTTCTCGGTGACGCTTATTTCGAGATCACCGTCCGCATCTCCGTTGTTATCCACAGACTTTTGAAGGTCAACTTCTTTGACTTCAGATAGAACCAAAAACGAAGCATTGATTGGCGGCGATAAGAAGTCAATTTCTCGGTCTTCAAGATGAACTTTTGGCGGAGACAAAGAGTCTTCCTGAAAAGCTTATTGTTAGTAAGTGGACTTAGGGTATGAAGGCCTGTTTTCATAAACCTCTAGTAGCTTAGTCTAGTTACTAGTTTCATTTGTGTGTGTATCTCACGGTAACCTGTGTTGACTGTACCTACTGTATTTGTTTCAACGCCAATAAGCGTGACTTTTCAAGCTCTTCCCTTTACCAAAGAATTGTCGGGATCAGAAATAGTAGAACTGTCACAAGAGGTGAACGGCTTCACAATCTTCATTTGCACTTCGTCGATCTTTGGCGAAAAATCAAAAGTACTTTATGTACGAACAGAACTAAATCTGAATCAGATACCAGGCTTTAAATTCACTAACCATCTCGACTTTCCTTTCAACTCCTCAAGAATCCTCGCTTGCTTTTTCGGGCGATGGCAGCGATCAAAATTTGTACATCTGGAAGAATTTTTTATCATCTTCTGATAAAGGTCATCAACTTTTCGACCACTAATTGCACTCCTCACGCTGGAGCACTGTGGCGGTGGGGCAATCTTAAGAATATCTTCTGCATAATGGCTAGCAAGAGCGTATCTCGATTAAAACCGCGATCGAAAAGTTCTGGCAGACCGGTAAACACACTAATCTCTGCAAACAAAAATTGATTGCTTTGTTGCCATTGACTGCAATAAAGTTCTATGGTTCATTTTTTTTTAAAAGTTAACAAAGTTCTTAAGCCAGACCTTTCGTTCGATCATCTCCCCAGGTGACGAGGCCAAGCATCGTGCCACGTCGTTTCGTAGGGATAACTAGGGAATGGAAACTTCTTTGAGTCAACCGTCTGGTTTTTGCCACAAGCAACATTATAATTTTGTAGACACTTTGTTTAATTCTCTTTGTTCTTTAACTCTAAAACAGACTAGATGCTATTAGTTCTGATCTATCTGTTAACATTTTTGGCACCAATTCCGAAGCAAGACTAGAGTTTTTTCTTCACGATTAACGCACTTTCTAAAAGGCACCTATTTTAGGTAAATTATCGTAATCAAATCGTCAGTTTTCATTTAAACATGGCAATTTTATATTCTTGACCAAACCATAGGAATCCTCACTCCAATCATGCTAAAATCGAGTGGCTTCGATGGAAACTGACGATTTTGTTACGATAGTTTTTCTAAAAATAGGCGCACTTTAGAAAGTGCATTAATCGCGAGGAACACACTCTAGTAAAGACAAACCTGAAGCTCTCTGCTGTGCTGTTCACTGCCGCCCATTGTTTCCTCGATTTGTGGTGGACTCATGTAGCGATCTGTGCCAAGAAAAGACCCTGAACACGTTTGTTTCCTCTTTGACTTCTCTACCCAAACCGGAAGTCCCCATTTTCCACATCGAAACTGGCAGTGACAAGAACGCTGAAAAACAAAATAGTTATGTGCCGTGTTTAAGTAGCTAACTGCTGGAGCTAGTGTTCTTTTTTTTACTGATCTGGCTTAATATCTCTATGGATGACATTTTTCTTTTCAAACATGTGACCGAGAGCATCGAAGAGTTGAATTGACCATAGGGACATCGGTTCCATCGTGTAGACAATTTTCGGATTAAATATCACTGGAAAAGAATTGTCGGCACAGAAAACGATAACAAATGACCTATTGTGCTTCATGACTACCATAAAAAGTAGTAGGTATTTTAATGTCAAAATTTATACGCTACCGTATCGTTGAGAGATCCCCGGTGACAGTACTCCATGATAATGCCAAATTTTCAGAGAGCGTCCACATCGCCCCTTGTGCCGATCAATGTGACGATGTTTGCGTGGGAAAGACGCCTCTGTAGGTTGCACTCTTTTTCGAAATTGTGTTTCATTTTTTCATTTCCACACTTCCAATACTTAATGACTGCCGGCCTGAATGGGGGTTTTTTCTAGGTGGGGGGCACGATGAGTATAAAAGCGTTTTTAAAAGGCACCTATTTTTGAAACTACCGTAGTCAAACTGCCAGCTTAAGTCACTCAACCAAATTTCGCGCTCATTGTCTGAGCCTATCCACCCCTAGCTGTATCATGTCAAAATTGGGTCGATTTGATGATGGTCGATGGTAACCAGAAGTGTTTGGGATCATCCTAAATTTCCGGATCATGTCCGGAACAGTTTATCCAAAAACCGGATTTCCGGATCTCGGATCGGGCTTGTGCGAGAATCGGTTTTTTCGGAAAATTGGGAAACGGGGATCTTGTGAATTTTGGCTCTTTGAGAAGAAAGCATCGTCTTGTCAGCGGCGGCCGCGTAAAAGTTTACCTAAAAATTAAGATATAACGTCTTGGAAAACAATGCGATACGCAACTATCTTTTTGCTTTGACAAGGCGATCCCACACGTGTTGCACTTGTAGCCGCTTTCTTCGAACGTAAAATAGTCATCATACTTCATCTAAAAATATAAAAAGATTGAAGAAAAGAAATGCTATTGTATCTTGATAGAAGATCGTGGGCCGCCAGAAGTAGATAGCTGTTAATGAAGAGGCGCGATAAAATTTCCACAATATATTATCGTAGCTTTCTTCTGGGACATGTCTCCCTTTCTCCTTCTCACCCTTACTTTTCAGCTCCATTTTGAGATAGCTTTTATGTTCAATAGGCCACAAGATAGCCCTTAATGTCTTCGATCTTTTGATATATTAAACATAAAAAATATACCCCCAAATGGAGCTGAGAACGAAGCGTCCAAAGTTAGTCAAAAAATGGGGGGGCGTTTATTAGGGGAAATACGGTAGGTTGGCAACTAAATAATGGCCTGCCTATTCTTTTGATAAAATCTTTAATCTTTGCGTTTAATCTACCCTCACTTGTTGTTAATTGAATATTACTGAATTTCTGGTGCATTATTTTACGTTTTCTTTTACTTTCCTTGATTTGATACTTTTCAAATAATTTTGTTATGAAATGGAAGATCTCAATATCAAATGCGTGTCTGTCTCTTCTACGACTATAAACAAGACAAAACAGCTGCCGAATCTTACAGAGATTCATTGCGAGTTTTTGGTGATGAAGCTCCTTCGAAACACAATGTAGGAGATGGTATCGACGGTTCAAGGAATGGGATGAAAGTCTTGAAGATGAGCCTCGCCAAGGAGGACCCGAACTTCTGGTGAAACCGATGTTTTGGAAGCAGCTTTAAAGGAGGACTTAAGTCAAACATCACGCGAGCTAGGGGAATCGATTGGGCTGGGGGCATACTGCAATCGAAAGCGACTTCATGCATTGGGGAAAAGTAACCGCAGCGGGGAGCGGATTCCGCACACGAATTGAGCGAAGAAAATACATTTTACTGGTAAGTTATCACAGCTTGAATACTACTGAAACTTGCGAAAAAGGGAAGCTTCTTCGACCTTGGATTTGTCACTTCTTGATGAAAAATGGATCTTTTATGATAATCGAACGCGAAAACGACAGTGGCTTAGGCACGCAAACGAAGACTCAAAACCAACTCCGAAGCCGGATATTCACTCTAAGCAAATGTTCTTCCTCATGCGCCATACAGCCCGGATTTGGGGCCTAGTGATTACCATCTTTTTCGATCCGATGCAACACTTTCTAGCCGAGAAAAGCCTCAATGACCTTGACGTTGTCCTGAATTTCAGTGAGGCAGTTCTTTGACGATCAACCAGAAGAATTTTTCAAGAGAGGAATCCAGTTGCTCCGTCAAAAGTGGAAAGAAGTAATAAAGAATGACGGAGAATACCTCTTGGATTGATGTTGATCATCTTGTTAATAAATTTTTGGTTTTTACTGAAAAGGCTCATTATTTAGCTGCCAACCTGATGTAAACAAATAAATGCTAGGATAAACAAAAAAAAACAAAAAAGAAACTGGAGAAAAAATAAAATGAAAAAGTGAAAGCGAGTAAAATGCTAAGTATAAAATATTCACGCTAAGCACTAAATAACTTAAATTGTCGACTTTATTGATAAATTTACTTGCATTATTTGCATTTTTTAAAAATTATCATACGCATCCGGATTCGGATCTGGTCAAAATCAAGGGCTTCCGGTACCGGATCGGACCTCTGGAAAAGTTCCGGATCCGGAAAACCCGAAGCTTCTCGCAATAACTGTTGATGGTAACTCCTGTTTGGCTACGGTAGTTTTTCTGGAAATAGGTGCGTTTTAGAAAATCACATATTGCCATGTACAAACTCTAGTTTCTGCTATATTATCAAAAACATTCCGTTAAAGAAACAAATAAATTCAAAATGTTATTCTTTGGAGATTTAGTTATTAAATTAAAAATTGGGTTCCACGGCTTATGCCTACCAAGCTGGTATAATACTTCACCATAACCACTGCAAGCTTGATGAAGCGCTCTTCAAATTCAGCAGTCATGGAATTTACATTGAAAATTTTAAAACCAATAAGCTAATTCAGCAAAAATAGAATTTAAAAATCGAATTTGAGCGAAATGTGCGTTTTATGAGTAACTTTGACACAAATCAATCAAAAAAAAACTCGCGACAAAATGGGAGAAGAGAAATCCCGGGGAGAAAAAGAAAAATCGTGGCTTTCTTTTTAAAAGAAAAAGCGAAAATAGGTGTATTTTTTGTCTGAGTTGAACAATGATCAAAACCTAAAAGCATAAGATTTTTTAGAAGTTTTACAAAATTTTTATTCACCTTGTAGCACCAGTTTTTTTTAAAAGGTGACTTCTAAACAGGAAATTCTGCGTTTTTATGGTCGAAAAATGTTGTCAAAAAAATTACTAGAAAAACAAATTGAAAGTTACATTACTGCACATCTATTCAACTTTTACTTTTGAATACGTAGTACTTTCAGCTCGAAATTGATTGACAACGCCTTCTTTAAAAGGCGCCTATTTCTGAAAGTCAAAATCAAATTAACAATTTCAAGACAGCTAGCCAACAAAAAACTGTATATAGTTTATTTTCACGATTTTAATTATTTTATTTTCAATGCTAATTTCTAGGAGGTAACTTTCTCGATAAATGCATGGTATACATTCCCTGGGCCAGAATTTCTTCTAAAATTGTTTTGAGTCTTCAAAAGTTATTGGTTACCTTCAAAACGCAATTTTTGAAGCCGGTTTGATTACCCAAGTCCCGCCCCCATAATTGGGCAGTGTGCCAGCACGCCGGTTACGAGCGGGCACCGAAAGAAACCACAAAAATTTCAAATTCTCAAAATCACAAATAGACCCAAAATGCTAAGAGGATTCAAAATTAAAATGTTCTGACAAATTTTCAGTTCATTTGGTCCAGCCATTCACAAGAAACAGCCGTGACTCGACATCGAGTCAGCTGGTCGAATCAGGTTGCTCAATGTGTACAAGCTTTAATATTGAAATCTATTTTTATCGTCACTACTATTTGAGTTTTAACATGTCACCAAGCTTTGGACAAACTCAAAAATAATACAACCTCTTTCTTCAAAAAAAGCAATTTTCGTCTCAAAATCAAACGCATCCAATGCAAAATTGTATTGCATTGATGCAAAGCAATATGGTATTGATAATTTTAATTGGTAATTTGGCATTGGTAATTGTAAGAGCAATTTTATCGGCTTTGCTTTCCTTACGCACGCCTCGACTCTACGGTAGGGTGAAGCTGAGCGAATGCCGCTATTACAGTTGCCCATGCCTGAAATGACTTGGACTTGTTCTTCCCACAAAATGTCCCCCACTTCCGTTTTGCAATCGCGACATCGCCTCGCAGTCGGACATCCCGGAGGGCACATTTTGCTCTTGAAATTCCGTGCATATTGCTCAACACACCG